CTCTGCCTGGTCTGTCTGTGTGACGACACTGAGGACCTCTGCCCTCAGCCATTCCCCTTTGCCTGCTTCTTTGTTTTCTCACCCCTTAGATTCAAGGGGTTGACTTCATCTTCATACATTGGCTGACTTTCCTATTTATTCCCTAGGTGTTTTGTTCTGTCCTTTGTCCCCTCCCTCTTATGCTCTGTGTTTACCAGTCCACTCGGCCTTCTTTGCTGGCTCCTGTCCCCGTTCAAGCCCCCTTCCCTACCTTACTGTGAAGGGGTGGGAGGGTAAATGCTGCACACTCCCATTCTCTCTCTCTCTCTCTCTCTCTCTCTCTCTCTTTTTTTTAAATGTTCATTTTTGAGACCGAGACAGAACATGAACAGGGGAGGGGCAGAGAGAGAGAGGGAGACACAGAATCCAAAGCAGGCTCCAGTCTCTGAGCTGGCAGCACAGAACCCAATGCGGGGCTCGAACTCACGAGCTGTGAGATCACGACCTGAGCCAAAGTTAGATGCTTAACTGACTGAGCCACCCAGGCGCCCCTCCTATTCTCTCTTTGATTGTTCTGTTCTCGGGTTGGTTTTTGCTCACAGTGGCTATCAGGTCATGCCATGTTTTTATTTGTCAGATGGTGAGAGCAGAGCCAAGAAGGTGGAGTCAGCAGTAAAGCAGGGTCTTTCTGACCACACTGAGTATGGAGGGAAGGTGTGGGGAAAACTCCCAAAGGCTGGGCCCCAGAGATCCAATTTGGTAGACTTTCCTAGAGTCTCTAAGACCAGAGGTCTTAGAAGAAAAGATCCTTCAAGTATGGTGAGTGCAGTTAGAGATCCACTGGGAAGTCACAACTTACTGTGTATCAGAAAATGTAGTCGAGAGAGGTTTGCACTGTCCCGTTCTGCAGCCCAGAGGAACTGCACTGGCAAGAGAGTGCGATCGATATACAGAGTACGAGAAAGCACCGAGAAGCAATAAGATTCTTGTGTATCAGTGTGCCCACACCAGAGAGAGCCCACTCCTGCAGCAAGTGTGGGAAATTGTGTGTCCAGGGCTGTGACTGTCCGCAGCAGATAGAAGGCAGGTGAATGTAAGCAATGTGGCAAGGCCTTCAGCTCTAGTTCCCAGCTTCCGACACATGGGAAGAAGTGTCCTGAGAGCTGAGGGTGGAGAGATAGCACCAGGAATCACCAGGAACCAATCACTCAAGCTGCTCATTAGTTCTTCGTAATAGACAAGGCTCCAAGCGTGGAAGAACCTTCGAAGACAACGAGGCCCCTTTTCCCTTTCTTCCTGATTAGAAGGAGTATATGTATATCTGTAAGGAGTGCAGAGAGGCCTTTCCTCAGGAGGCTGCTTTTTGTTGTTGATTACACAGTCCACACTAGAGAAAAGCTGCGTAAGATGTAAAGCAATAGGTTATACCACATTACGTATCAGAGTTCACACCCCTAGTAGGCTATATGTGGGCAACAAGGGTGGGAGAGCTTTTATGTATTACATTAATTACTGTGCGCTGTAGAGTTGACACTGGAGAGAAGCCCCACAAACATCAGAGCTCCCAAAGCTTGGTGCCTCTGAGTAGTCTCTGGGGAAAAGCCTTTTACATGTGGCCGTTGTGGGAAGGCCTTCAGAAATCAGCCCCATGTCATCACCCATCAGACTATTCAGACTGCAGAGAAGCCTTAAGAGTGCCAGAGGTGTGAAAAAGCCTTCAGCCAAAATGAATCTAAGGGCCTATCAAAGAGTCCACACAGGAGAGAAACCTGGGAGTATCGCGAATGTGGGAAGGCCTTTATGAGGAATACCAACCTTATTGATCATTAAAGACTCCACTTTGGGAAGAGGCATTGACTGGGAGGGAGGAAGGAAGAAAGGTTGTTAATAATCATGAGGACCATCAACGTAGTAGGTTTCATACAATTTCCAGTCCCATGAGTGTGATGAGTGGGAAAGCAGAAAAGATCACACCTGACTACCCCAGAATGGACGCAGGAGACAGATTGTGCAAGCACGCTAAGGAGGGGAGACCTTCGCTGTGGCTAATTCCGGAGCATGGGTGGCCACGCTGTTTTTGTAAAGGGCCAGAGAGTAAATATGTTGGGCTCATGAGCTCTATGGTCTCTGTCGTAGCTACTCAGCTCTGCTGTTGGGGCACAAAAGCAGCTAGACGGTACGTACACAAATGAATGTGGCTGTATTCCAGGAAGATTTTCTTTACAAAAACAGAGAGCTGACCAGATCTGGCCCATAGGTCCTACTTTGCCAACCCCTGTTCTAGAGAGAAAAACCTCTTAAGAAGCCTTAATAATCAGAGGGCGGGGTCACAGACTGGATTCCTTCTGCAGAGGAATCTTGGAACAGCATGACCATGGAACAGAACCTTCAGGGGATACTCCAGCCTTGTGAGAGGGTCAACGGGAGAGGCATGAAAGATCCAGAAACCTGTGTTCTGCCACAGAATAGCTGAAGGACTAGCGCCCAGTCACCTAAGAGCCACAAGCCTTTTTTTTTTTTTAACGTTTGTTTATTTTTGAGAGAGAACATGCCAGTGGGGGACGGGCAGAGAGGGAGACAGAGGATCTGAAGCAGGCTCTGCGTTGACAGAGAGCCTGATGCAGGGCTTGAACTTGTGAAGTGCGAGGTCATGACCTGAGCTGAAGTTGGATGTTGAGTCACCCAGGAGCCCCAGGAGCCACAGGGCTTTTATGAGAAGAGCAAGAGAGTATATCTGAAAGTGCTTTCAAAGTGAGTGTGGTAAACACATTTATTACATTTGTTAAATTTTTTTTTTTTTTTTAAGTAAGCTCTACACCCACCACGGGGCTCAAACTCCCCACCCTGAGATCAAGAGTCGCACACTCTGCTGACTGAGCCAGAGCCAGCCAGGTGCCCCAGTATGGTAAACACATTTGAAATGGTGATTTATGTGAAAAGATTTTACTCTTTCCCCAAATAGTTTTGGAGCCCCTACTGTGCCCACATCCTGCAGTGGTAAATTGGGAGTGTCAGTGTGTGGATGGTGTTTAGAGCCGTGGAACAGGATGCTTCATGAAGAGGATTCATGGCTGAGCTAGGGGCATCCAACATTTATCAGTGGGGAGAAGTGAGGGACTCAGCATAAAAGATTGTGAAAGTGTCCTGTGAGGTAGGAAAACGGCATTGTGGAGCCAGGAAATCAGGGTAAAGGCAGTGTCTGATGACGGAACGGTCACCTCCAAGTGCTGCTGCGGGGTGAGTGGGCGTGGGACTGGGAATGGCCCCTGGGTCTGTTAAGGGTGGTGTGTTAGGTCCCTGGGGCTGCCCTAATGCACCATCACCAGCTGGCTGGCTTGAAACAACAGGAATTCTCAGAGTTCTGCAGGCCCAATGTCCAAAATCAAGGTACCAGCAGGGCCGTGCTCCCTCCGCAGGCCCTCAGGGATAATGCTTTGCCTCTGCCAGCTTCTGGGGCTCCAGAGGCTCCTTGGTTTGTGTGGCTGTGGAACCCCATTCTCTGCCTGTGTCTTCACAAGGCCCGCTATGCTGCCTGTGTCTCTTAGGACACTTGTGTTTGGATTTAGGGCTCACCTCAGAATCCAGGATGGACTCATCTCAGGATTCTCCACTTAACTACATCTGCAAACTCCCTTTTTCCGTATCAGTTCACAGTCATAGGCTCCAGGGTTTAGGATGTGGATGTAGCTTTTGTGGGACAGCACTCCAGGTTTTGCTGGTGAAGCACTAGTAGCAAAGCATGTGAGCCGGTTCTGGAGAGAGTGGGGGCAGAGCGCAGACGGCAAGCAGGTCTAGAGCTGGAGGGTAAGACTGAGTCACACTTGCCTGATGAAAGCAAAGATCCTATTATACCCTACTCTCCGCGTCGGATGCCTCACCCCCGCACACACGTTCTCAGAAGGAGGGGCCGGAGGAGGTGGGGAGTTATATCACAGTATTCCTGTTACACAGCCATGACCTTTCTGGAACCAGCCATTGCAGTGGGTGCGTCGCATCAGGGTCTAGGGGCCGCATGAGCTTGATTGGAGGTTGGAGAGGAGCGTTACCAACGGCGGGTGGGGGGGGGGGTTCCTATGCAAGGACACGTCTCCCCAGCCCGTCGGGGGCCGGGGGGGCGGGCAGGATATAAAAGAGATGAAACTTGTAGTGGCCTGACTTCTGGAAGCCCTTAAGGCTGTGTGGAGGGCTCGCAGAAGCCGGGTTACCTGCAGTACTGAGGCAGCTCTCCAGAAAACAAGTGGCATGTCCTCCATTGCCACAAGAGACTTGTCCTTGCATAGGAAACCCACTCCCCAGATTTCCAGGAGAAGGAGGTAGTCTTGTATGCAGGGTGCCCTCGTTAGACTTGGCGTCAGGCTGGTACCCAGACCTCTGGTGGTAAAAGCTCACCCCAGCTGTCTGGCATAGGATTTCTTCCCCCCGCCCCCCGGGTTTGTTTGTTTTATTTATTTATTTATTTATTTATTTATTTATTTATTTATTTTAAATATATGAAATTTATTGTCAAATTGGTTTCCATACAACACCCAGTGCTCATGCCAACAGGTGCCCTCCTCAATACCCATCACCCACCCTCCACTCCCTCCCACCCCCCCACCAGCCCTCAGTTTGTTCTCAGTTTTTAAGAGTCTCTTATGCTTTGGCTCTCTCCCACTCTAACCTCTTTTTTTTTTTTTCCTTCCCCTCCCCCATGGGTTCCTGTTAAGTGTCTCAGGATCCACATAAGAGTGAACACATATGGTATCTGTCTTTCTCTGTATGGCTTTCTTAAACAGCAACACAAATGGTGCACTTGAGGGAATAGTGAGTTGAGGTCATCTCAGCCTTGAGCAAAAGAGAACTAAACAGAGGGTCTTAGGTAGGGGCCATAGCCAGATAGGCCATGTTGCGACATGTAGACAGCCGGTGACGGTGACAGGCTGGATGAAATTACTCCCTGGAGGGATAGTGCCTGGAGGATGGTCAGGTGCAGGGTGGGGGGGGGATGTGTTCAAGTCTCAGTTGAAACATAACTTTTCCAGAAAGACATCCCTGAGTAAATTGTGTTCCCTATTTCAACTCATCCTATTCCTGTGTCATCCGCCTGCGAGTGTAGCTCCACAATGGTAAGGACTGGCCCAGCATTCCTAACTCTGACTGAATAAACTGGAGAGGGGGAGGCAGAGCGTCTGGCTCCCACATCTCCTGGGGAGGGCTTTGTCCTGAGCAGTTGCCTGGTGACACCCAGGGGCACCACCACCGCTCACCACCTGTGGGAGCTGCTCTGTGCACAGCCACCAGGAGCAGGGTGTGCAGCGTGGGGGTGGGGTCCCTTGAAGTCACTCACTGAGGGTGGAGGGGGTGCCGCCCTCCCCCTGCACCTTTGCCTCTCCAGCGGCCTCTTTTGTCACTGTTGCCATTGCCTCCCACTTCCAGCTCTTCCTGTCCCATGTCCTTATTCCCACACTGCAGAATGCCACATTGACGTGTTTCCTTTGAGTCCCTCTCCCCCCCCCCCCCCGCAATGTTCCCCTGTCTTTTGGACAACCCTAGCTGAGGAAACACGGTGGGGCGAGAGGTGTGCTACCCCCAGCACTGGCCTGAGGCCCTGCTCCCCATCCTTCGCCAGGCAGAAGTACCTCAAACGAGTGGATGGAAGCAGACATTTCTACTTCTACACACGCTTCTGGGGGTGTTCACACACAGGCATCTCCCTGTGAGAAGGTGGGTCAGACACACAACTGTTTCTGAGGTTTGACACTGGAAATGGAATTACTGGAGAAACTCATTTTCTATGTCCTGTGCCTCTAATGTATTTTGTAATCAGAAGGAGAAATTAAAAAACTGAAAAAATATGTGTGTGGCTGTTTACTAACCATTAGTTACTAGAATCTTTTTTAAGGATTGTTTTCAGTATTAGGGCTCTGCTCAGCTTGATCTTTCTATACATCTTTTTCTCTTGAAAAATTTTTTTTTAATTTTTTTTTTCAACGTTTATTTATTTTTGGGACAGAGAGAGACAGAGCATGAACGGGGGAGGGGCAGAGAGAGAGGGAGACACAGAATGGGAAACAGGCTCCAGGCTCTGAGCCATCAGCCCAGAGCCTGACGCGGGGCTCGAACTCACGGACCGCGAGATCGTGACCTGGCTGAAGTCGGACGCTTAACCGACTGCGCCACCCAGGCGCCCCTTGAAATTTAATTTTGACACATCAGCTCCCCATTTTGTAAAGCACAGATTAAAAACCATTTATAACCTATGTTTGGCCAAAGGAAAGTTGTAGAAAAGTAGTTCCTATCTTAGCTGTTTTTAAAAATTAAAGCCTAGTTCTAATTTGATTGTTGATAAGGGTGTACAATCTTGGAATATTTGAAAAGTATCCATTTTGTTGCCTGCTGGTGCACTGATCACAAACTTTTCTCTAAGTGATGTTTATTTGCTAGTTGTGAGCAGAGGGGAGTGTCCCACGGTCACTCGGGGACCTGTCTCCAGAAGTGGAGTGGACTTTGTGACTCTGGGTTTGCTCCATGTGATGCTGTGTTCAGTGTGGCCCGGAAGCAATGCTCTGGTGTCCCACTTCCCTCCTGACCCATGGCACTAAATACGTAATCTAAAAAGAAAAACAAGAATGGTATCTGTTTTGTAGACACTTGAGGAGGAAAATCCCTGAAATGGGAACAGGCTTTTTTCAAAAGCAAACTTGGCTTCGGCCTTCCAATTTCTTTGATTCTGATTGTGTTGTTCTAGAAGCTGTTACATAGCTGTTACCTACCGTTAAGGTAGGTAGTTTCCACTGTTAGAGGTGCCCCCCCACCCCTGCGCCTGCTGCTTTTTTGAAGGGTGGCATTAAAGACCTAGGACTAGACTGAATTTTTGAACTCCGGGAGCATTTCTTAGTCATCTCAGCACCTCCAGTACTTGATGTGAACTAGTGAGGCGCGTGGAGTTTTCACATGGCCAGAAAGTCATCAGCCCGGTGCCTGTTCCTGGGAGTAGGTGGGCTTTGCAGTCTGCCCCCCACCCCCCGACCCTTGGACCCCAGCTCAGGGAGAGGTGGTAGAGATGAGCGGCCCCACAAACCCCCCCGCGGCAGATGGCTCCAGCACCCCGGGTGAGAGAACAGTGAGGGCAGCCGCAATGAGGCCAGCGGTTGGGCTGAGCGCACCCCTGCCCCCTGGCCAAGGAGCAGGGGTGACCTGAGGCGGGAAAAGAAGAGGCCCAGGCCCGGGGAGTGGAAGAGAGGTTACAACCCTGGGGAGACAAGCAGGAAAAGGTTTCCTTTCCTCAGACGAAAAGGAAGGAGAGGGCCTACTTTCAAAAACACCCACGGCCCCTGCTGGTAACCAGAGGGGCCCAGGAGGCTGGCCTCCGATGGAAAAGGGTGGGCTGGGGCGCGCAGAGCCACCCCCAAACAGCAGGCAACACAGGCATCGAGCCGCAGGAGAAGCAGGTTTATGAGCCTTGAAACCCTCTGAGATGTGAGAGATAATATCCATAAAATCCAGGATTGCTAGAAAGCCACAGACTTGCTTCTCCAAACTGCTGAAAATAGAAAGGAGGAAGTGAAATTAATAGCGCTGGGAATGAGAAGGAAACCAGGCCATGTGTGCATATCTTCAAAGCTAGAAAATAACCACATCTTCTGAACACATTACATTCCAGGTGCTGAACCAAGCAATTTTCACTTATTATTTCATTTAATCCTCATAAAAGCCCAAGGAGATAGGTATTACAATCTTGTTTTATCGGTGAAATTCTCTTAGGTTGAGTAACTCGCCCAAAGTCACAGCTGAACCCTGTTCTAGCTGACTCAAGAGGATGGGCTTAATCACTGCCGGTAGCTTCCGAACTTTTTCCACCAAGACCCACAGATCTTAACCCAGCATGCATACGTATAATATATAACTGAAAGAAAAATTTCATAAAACAGCATGTACCCTTACCACCTACAATGCTCTCTGATACTTTCTATTCATTCTATTTTATTTAAAAGGAAATGCTAGTCACGACTTGCTAAATGCATTTCCTAATTCATTAATGGGAGAGGACCCCAATCCCCCCACACAGTTGGAGGAACACTGTTACCGCCTCCTGGCAGTGGGAGGGGGTACATTGGACCCAGAAGATGGCTTTACCGGCCCCCCTGAGTTGCTGGGCTGAAGGGTAAACAGTGCAGACTGTAAAATCCTCTCGAATCTTCTGGGCCTGATGATCAGCACAGTGCGAGAATGCGCCTCACGGACCTTTCAGGAAATGCCCCTGGGGGACACTCAGTGAATTATGAACAAATAATTAGTAAGCGATTACAAAGGGTGCATTCGTGAAGAATAATTCTTGCCAGATTGACCTCTGTCCTGTCTGATGCATTTCACTAGTACGGCAGACACCATGCCCGTGAATTTCAGCAAAGCATTTGATCTCCTAATAGCCCCAAGGATAACTTGGAAGATTGAGGATGGTGTGTGGTTAAGTAAACTTATTCCTGGTTGACTGCCTATCCCGAACAGGGCTCAAAAGAGACGATCTGTGAGGGAGTTCTTTGTAAAAACAAAAGAACAAGGGGAAGTTGTAATTTGTATATGTTAATTGCCTCTGCCTCCTCCACTAGGGTGTGAGCCCTGTGAGGGTGGAGGACTTGTTTCCTTTGCCATCTTGCATCCCCAGCACTCAGCCCAGGCTCAGACATTTAGATGCTCCTCAAGAACTCTCAGGGGATGTTATCATTAATTAGTCAATATCTGCCTGAGTGAGGACTCTGGGGACACGGTCCAGGGTCCTGGCCTTAGTCCTCTTGTGCTCCATATTCTCTCCAGTTACTTGGACAGAGAAACAGATGACATATTTACCAAAGTTTCAGGTGGCAAAAAACTGGGACAGCCAAAGCACTGGATGAATCGGGGTCCAAAAATAACTTAGCAGCCGGGAACGGTGGGCCGAATCAAGATGAAAAATAATAGAGATCTGTGTTCTGCCTGTAGGTCTAAGACTTAACTTCCCTAGCGCAGGATGAGGGGGTATACGGTTTAACAGCAACATACGTCAGGGACTTGTGGTTTATATTGGAAACTAACAAATGAAGCAGCGATGTGGCAAGGTCACCAGCCAACACTGCAGACTTAGCCTGTGAAAATACAAGCTTAGTGAACAAATAGCAGAAGGTCAGGGCCCCTCTACTTCGTGCAGGTCAAATGACACTGGAAGGGCTGGCTTTGAACAGCAGTTATTAAGGATGATATTGACACATTGCAAACCTTCTAGAGGAGAATATGTTGAATTTGCCCACCTCAAAATCAAGGATTTCTGTTCAGTAAAACACCAGAAAGGCACTCAATGGCTGGATAACAGACTAGGAAAAGATGTATACAACTAACACAGAATTAACATCCAGGGTATTTAAGGAACACCTTCACATCAACAAGAGAAAAGCAGGAAACTAGGAGAAAAGAGGGCCCAGGGGATGAGCAGGCATTTTGCAGAAGAGGAAATTGGAATTGCCACCGGTGTAAGAAGAGAGGCTGGGATCCGCCACTAATCAAAGGAACTCAAATTAAAACAACAGGACTCTCCTGTAATAGGATAACTCTCCCCAGCAACCCTCCTGCTGAAACAGCTAAATAAGCTGGATAAAATGTTGAAAATAACCTCTGTAAAGAGCTGACAAGATGGGATGAGGTAGGACAGCATCCTAAGGCATGGGGATCAAGGAGTGAGGAGCCCAGAGGCTGGTCCCTTCCTGAGGATTGCACTGAAGCGGAGGGTTGAACTTTCCTACTGATGGCCTCTTGAGATGAATACGTCCCCAGGCCTGCTCCGGGTGGAAAGTCTAACAGGAGACCCCATTCCCCGCAATATGCCCGGTTAAGGGTAAACTAGAAGTGGACCAATCTGTCAGAATCACAGCCTGGTTCTGTTTGCCTGGGCTACGGCAGGGCATCCCAAGCCTCAACTTTGAATAGCTCAGCACTGGCAATGCCCCCAGGCTCTTGAAAGCAGCAAACACAAATTCTCTGTGGAGAAAGCTACCTTCATCCCAAATTATTCCTACAAATAATCTTTGAAATATAACAACCAGCATATAATCAAAGATAACTTGGGAAACAAGGAAATCAGGCTCCAGTCCAGTGCCCTGGAAGCCCAATTTCTGTGGCTGCTAGACTCCAAATCTGACACCTGGGAGCTGGGGTGCCACTGACTAAGCGTGTGGCCATCAGCGCCCATGTGCCCTGGCGGCCAGGGATTGTGTGAGTGGGTGACCGTGTGTGTGCCACCAGCATGGTTTTTTTAGAGCAGAAGTTTGTTTGTTTGTTTGTTTGTTTGAAGTTAGTTTATTTTTGGAGAGAGGGGAGGGGAGGAGCAGAGAGAGCGAGGGAGAGAGAATCCCCAGCAGGCTCCACCACACTGTCAGTGAGGAGCCTGGGGCAGGGCTCAAACTCACAAACAGTGAGGTAAAGTGGGATGCTTAAACGACTGAGCCACCCAGGCATCCCTAAGGGGCCCTAAATAGGAAGGCAAAGTGATTTTTCATGTTGGGGTGATTACAATTTTAACTATTTTATTTGTATTGCTGTCATAGTGTTAAAAAAATCACTTAATTTGTTAAAGTCTAATGCATAGAAGAAGTAATCCAGATTATTAGGAAAATAAAATCTAAAATACTTTTATAATGTCAGTATATTTTTTGGTAATGGTGGTCTCTTCACAGAATCTGACAAAAATAAACTCTCGGTCAAAATGCAAAACTGACCAATTAGCTGGAGAGGGTTCATCTCCCAATGACTCTAGTTATTTAAGTCCTCTATTTTTGTTAAATTTATCAACAAAATCATCTTTCCATATTTCTTTAGATACATTTGT